TGGATATTCTATCGAAAACGAGCTTAAAATTTCAAATTCGCGGAACATCAAGTGATCGACACAAAAATGAAACAAAATGGTGGACCTTGAAATCTCAAGCAATAGAGGGCGTACACAGCGCGACACGCATCCTTGAGGGATTAGGCAGATTCACACCTTTTAACAATGGCGTTTCCTAACCGTCTTTTTTAGTAACCGTGATTTAGTGTACCTTTAAAATTGGACTCGGCAACCCTCAAAACCTAATATTAGTGTAATAATGTAAATAATCGATTGATTTTTCATGTTTTCCTTGTACATTTTGTAAAGGTGTATTGGCTGTTCCTTCTCAGAACTCCCTCCAGTATATTTGCTGTTGTATTTAAAAAATGAACTCAGCACTAAATAAAAAGTAATGTTTATTGGGTTAAAGTAGGATTTAGATCGTGTTATAATTCAAATCCCTCTTGGGAAAAGTTTTAAGCAGTAAAAATGTCATATGAAATATTTGGATAAAGTGAACTAAATTTTGATTTTTAGCACAGATATACTAAATACTGAATTTCTTGAGACTGACTTGAACAACAGAGTAGTGCTCAATGCAATGAACATGAATACTGAAAATATACTTTCTTAGTTTTACAAAATTCCAGTTGCCAATAAATATGGAAGGTAATTATAAGTAACATTTTGAACACACAGGTCTACCATTACTTGTGCAAAGGACAATAGCCAGACAAATACAGCTTGTTGAACAGATCGGTAAGGGCAGGTTTGGTGAAGTCTGGAGAGGACGTTGGCGAGGAGAAAATGTTGCTGTCAAGATATTTTCATCACGAGAGGAGCGCTCTTGGTTCCGAGAAGCTGAAATATATCAGACGGTCATGTTACGAAATGAAAATATTCTTGGCTTCATTGCAGCTGACAACAAAGGTTTGTTATTAGTGTTATGTATGTTACGTCATTGTCATCTTATGACTATGCACAAGGTCATTTGCGGGTTGTTTTATTATTCCATACAAAACGCCCAAAAAGTCTTTTCAGCAAAAATTAATTAATGTGAAGAGTACATACAAGTCATAATACCGGTAGTGGCAAAATGTCTGTCACCCGGTGGCGACTTTCGCGCCATTGTCGCCCTCGTAAAATACTTTGTGTGCGCATCATTGATTCTGATGGGAAAAATATAGTTCAAAGTTAAAATTAGGGGCTCAGCTTCAACTAGTTTAAACAAACTGCATCTGCGCTTCACAGCAGAGAACAACTTGTGAATCGTAATTATTATTTCTTATGTACATAAACATTCATTCATTCGTTCGTTCGTTCGTTCGTTCGTTTGTTTGTTTGTTTGTTTGTTTGTTTGTGTGTTTGTTCATTCATTCATTCATTCATTTGCGTATTCATTCATTCATTCATTCATTCATTTGTTCGTTCGTTCGTTCATTCATTTATTCATTCATTCATTCACTTATTGATTTATTGATTGATGGATTTATTTATTTATTTTGTAGTGACAGTAACAAATCTCAATACCTGTACTTTACGTTTTCAGATAATGGTACTTGGACTCAGCTATGGCTTGTATCTGACTATCATGAGAATGGATCTCTCTATGATTACTTGGCTAGAATTCCCGTGGACATTACCGGTGTGATAAAACTATCACTCTCCACAGCGAGTGGCCTTGCTCATTTACATATGGAAATAGTAGGAACTCAAGGTATGTAATGAGTAGGTAGCTGAATTGAAAATAGAAGTTTATGCAATTTTTATTATGTTGTACTTGAACCCAATGTAATGATTTGTTGCAACTTTTGTCATTTTTCACAAAAAAAAACTTTCACAAGCTTTTCATATTTTTATCAAAATATTGATCAACACATGCGACCAATAGGGAATTGTGTCCATTTGGTCCAAAATTTACTAAAAAATTGTAAAAAATACATAAAAATAAGAAAAATGATGAATAAATGAATCAAAATGTTAGAAGATAAACTTAGGGTACCCAAATTGTTAAATTATTAGTGAATCTGTGAAAATAGTTATTCTCGGGGGTGGAGCTACGTCACAAAACATTCTACATTTATGTTGCTAAAACTGTACTAATTATTTCCTGGGGCTCTGTGCAAGCTGCTGTGGAACACTGGTTGAGGAGCCCATGATGCAGATAAGGTTGGGAATACAGCACAAACTCAACTATGAAACAATCCTGTATATCAAAATTTATATTTGTTGCACATGTAGAGGGTAGTCTTGTTACAATTATCAGGAGAGTACAGTATTTTTGAGTTTTTGATAGTTGTTTTCACCTGTTATGGTTGCCAGACTCTGAAAATGTTCACTCCTGAGAAACCATATTTGTATTGAAGCTACGCATACTAACTATAGTCTTTTACTTGATTTCCACCACAGGTAAACCTGCTATAGCGCATCGTGATTTGAAAAGCAAAAATATATTAGTGAAAAAGAATGGCCAATGTGCAATAGCTGATCTGGGACTGGCAGTGCGCCATGATGCGACAACCGACACAGTAGACATTGCTCCGAACAATAGAGTGGGAACCAAGCGGTACATGGCACCCGAAGTACTGGATGATACTATTAATATAAACCATTTTGAGTCATTCAAGCGAGCTGATGTATACGCTCTCGGTTTGGTACTTTGGGAGATCAGCAAGAGATGTAACATGGGAGGTGAGTTTGCCATTAGTGGAACGGTCAACACATTACCTTCTGAAAGCCGCCACGAATAGCTGAGATGAATGGAAAATAAAAACAGCATCCGTAGGCGATGTGTCCACTTATTATCTCTACTTATTATTTACTTATCATCCTTGGGATCTGTTAATTTATTGACAATTGTGGTTCGTGTCTTAAAGCGAGAGGGTCGTCACCTGCGCACGTGCAGGAATTGAGTCCCAAGCGAGTCCCAACATGCGCTAAAAACGCAAAGGCTCATGAGTAGATGCTTGTTTGTAAACAATGTCACACTAAGGCCATCTGACGCATGCGCAGGTGATGACTCCCTCGCTTTAAGGATTGCAGTGGAACATTCAGTGCTATGAAATTTCATGATTTTCATTGTCTTGTTACCCCAGCTGCCTCTGTCTATGTTCTTTCCTTTACTATTGAAAAATAGACTCCAGATCATTTGTTATGCGATTTTGTTCCACCCACCAAAAATATGCATATTTCGACTTTTAGTCTTTAAAAAACATTTACATGCCCATATTTGTCAACTGTTGAGTGATTCGAATGCCACAGAATCACGCAAGTGCTTGCTGTTGAATTTCTGTTCACTTGTCGTAGTGAATAAGTTAGTCATAGTAAATCAATTGTACAGTTAATGTAGTTGTGTTAAGATCACAGCAGACCTGACAAATATCCGTTTTTATCACAACAAACTTTCAGTAAGATTATCAATATATCTCCTTATGACTACTGGCGTATATGTTTATGCAACTTGTGTGTATTTGGTCAACCCCTAAAATCCAGCATTAATGTATTCAAATTGAACTGAAATGACCACGATACTAAGTCATGTGAAACTACTTTCCACTTTGGCAGGAGTTACCATCAGGCCTTTCAAATTATTGAGAAATTACAGCAAACTAAAAATTTAAAATGGCATGATATCTTGACACGTTCATCAACCGATGTAGGTATTCGGACTTGAGGAATCAAATAGGGTGGACCGAAGTGGCCGACTCTGCCATGAGTTTCCACCAAACGACAAATTATTAATATCTCGAAACAGACATTAAAATGAAAAAAAATGTTTCCATCTTGCCATTGTTAACCTCAAACTTCATCTTAAATGAACATCCTTATTTCACAACAGTATATATATTTGAACTGGTTTGGAAATATGTACGAGTCAATGTTCGCAGACAAGAATAAATTTTTGAAATGCAGTTCCATATCTTAATTGTGGCTCTGTCATTGTCATCAAAATGTTGTTTTCCATAATGTAGTTCTATGCGTTTTAGAAGTGTTAGTTTATCGGTGATGTTCACTCAATTATATTGTAATAGAATGATTTCATGACAAAATAAAGTCCACTGTTTAAATTTGTTATGCAGGTAATTATAACAACACTTGTGGGGACGAAGTGAAAGTCGCTGTGATTCAATCAGTGTCTTTAAAATCCCAGTAACATTTTCTCTGCTACAAAATTCATGATTTTTACTGACTAGTGAAATGATTGGTGAATGCTATTTGGTTGTGTCCAAAATTAGATGTGAAATAAATAAACAGACAATAAGCGATTACTTCCTGTCCAAGGCATGTAAACGATTCCCAACTTGACTTCTAATGTGTGTGACTTGTTGACAGGTAATTATGAAGAATACCAGCTACCATACTATGACAAGGTGCAGTCTGATCCCTCTATTGACGAAATGAGGAAAGTTGTGTGTGATGAAAAACAACGACCAGATATACCAAATAAATGGATGAGTAATGAGGTGAGCAACCCTTAATTAAGGTCAAATGTCAACTTATCTCAGCATCAGAGCCTGACC